AGCCACATATAGGAGAAGGTCATAAAAAAATCGAGTTATAGTAATATTCGAGTTATCGTACTTCGAGTTATAGCGAATTGACTGTAGTTTATTCATTTGTGTATGGTTACTGTCTTATATTTATTTATATGCATATTATTATAAGAGAAATAAGATTAAATAGCTCCCAAATCTGCATAAAACATTCGTGGTTATATGTGAGGTACATTTTGCATTTCATTTAAAAATTCATGTTTTTGTTCCTTCATTTTATTTTACTTTTTTTTTTTTTTTTTTTTTTTTTTTTTTTTTTTTTTTTTAGCATGCCTTTGATAATTAATGGAATACTTTTAGAAGAATTGCCTCCAGATACAAGATCCTTATTCGAATCTTATCCTCACTTGAAAGTAAATACTATAATTATAGATAAATATAAGCAAGATTATTTTTGATTAGTTTTTAATTAATAATTTATTTTAGGATGTTGCTGCAGCACTTATTGCTCAAGTTCCTAAAGTTATTGGACCTGTCGGCTTGTTATATGTTCATCAAAGAGAATATGCAGTCACATCATCTCATGATAGTAAGTTTGGTAATTTTGCATTTAAATTTTAAGAAATGATTTCACCTATAATGTACACAAACGCCATTCGTGGATAAAAGAAATTTGTATCACTTATTATAAAGAAAAACTCAAGATTTCCTTATTTTATTCAGTCACCATTTCTTTACATTGCAAAAATATTTTTATTAACAAAAAACGGGAGAAATTGCCCTATTTTACCCTGCAGTAAATTTTTTTCAAAGTAAAGACTTTTTTAGTATTACTCATTTTTAAAAAAAATTGCAATATTTCCCAATCATAACCCAGATATCACTCTTGCAGAGATTGATGTGAGAATTTCTCTCTCTGTTTTGCTTTTTTCTCGCAATGACATCATTGCATGACTTTCAGGTATACTGGTATGTATGATAATCAATGTAGAGTTTTTTTAAAAAAATGAAACCATTTTTCAAAAAATCGGCAATTTTCAAACAAATTTCGAATAAATGCTAACAAATATTATGATATTCAAGAGTTCGTCATAATTACTTGCAGGAAGTTTCTTAATTGATATTTTGTGTTTGCAGAAAGTTTTTTTATATTTTCTAAGTCTGTGCATGTTAAAGAGAGATGTTACTCTCCATTAACATGATATCTGACATTTGGTGTATGACATCTTAAAAGCCATTTTTCCTCTTATTTTCTCTATTTTTTTATATGATTTTTATTTATTATTACAAATTAATTAATAAAGCTTTGAAACTAATGCCATTCTTTCATTATAAAGCAAACCTCTAAATGTAACATTTTTATGAAAAATATATTGAGAAAACTATATGTTACTAAACAGTTTTGTAATTATTAAATGGGGGGGAAAAAAATTTGTTTTTATAATCTCTTTTTCCAGAAAAATAGGCAGTTAAAATAATGAATACAAACTTTTTATTGGGAATTAACTTAATCAAATATTACTAAACAATCTGTTTGAAAAATTTAATTTACTTTATGGTAACCAAAAGTTCAATAGGAATCATACAAACAAAATTAAGTTACAATGATAGTTTTGAGCAAAATGAAGTTGAAATTTTTTCCCAATAGGCTCTAAAAGTAAATCTATGTTAATGCAATAAAATCTTCGAATTGAATAATTTTACAATTCATTAAGAAATGAAAATATAGCATAGCAATCCCAACTCCAAAAAAAAATTTACATTGCTGCTGACGAAGGCAGGATTGTTGTGGTGAGGCCTTCATGTTTAACCAACTGGGTTTGTTATAAGGAACTTGCTATGGAGGATTGTTTACCCATTTGTAAATTGAAGTTAAATAACACATGTTTAAAAATTCTTTGTTGGATTTTTTAATGCTTTTATTAAATCTTAATTTTACTTTATTTACAGAAAATATTACTGTAGTTGGTACAGATGATACAACAACATGCAGCATGGTGGTTTTGAAGCATACTGGTATATTTTTAGCTTTTCTTTTCTTCCCCAATGTTTCAGTTTTTTTTTTTTATATATATGTATATATAAATAAAGGAAATTTAATTTCATAATTTTATTATTAATTCAATTATTTTATGTTTGCTGTATAATTATTTTACGCGACTGTCTAAAGTGTACAGTTTTCAGAAAGACAACTTATGATTTGATGTTAAGATTCTCAGTTAAAAGTTCTTTGGTAAAATCATCAAACTTAAGTCTTTTGTATAAAAATTGGTCAGATATAAAAATTCTATATTTTCATAACATTTCAGTTTTATTTTTTTCAAAAAAATAAATCTAATAGTTCTGGGGATTTGAAATGCAAATTCTATTACTAGTTTCATTTTTAATTTCAGAGAACTACATGTAAAAACAAAAATTTGTGCATAGTATGACTAAAATGAATTTTTAAAAAAAATTTTGTTAATGAAGAAGAAATTCTTCAGGTATTCAAAGTTTTTTAAATATAATAATGTAAGCTGACAAACAACAATGTGCTTTTCCTACATTACCTATTAAGATTAAAGTTAAAAAGTTTAGTTCCATTTTATTATACGAAACTTATTTCTTCAAAGGAAAAACTAGAAGAAATTAGAAATACAATTTTTTAATGATAAGCAACAAATAAAATTTAATGTAATGCCAAAATTGTTTCTATTTATTTTTAAAAAGAAATATTTTCATGTTGTTTTACCTGCATAGGGATTTTTAATCTCTGTAATGTATTAAAGTAATTTGTATTTAAAATAGATTTATGTTGTCCTTATTTTTCTAAATAAATCAATACACCTACATAGCTACCAGTCTTTTGGTTTTTCGAATTTTCATTTTCAAAGTGGTAGCAAAACTCACTCCATTAAACTTTCTGAATTATAATTATAACACATATATAAAAACATAATAGTCTTTATGATAGCGAATTTCAACCTGCTCAAAGTATAAACTTATTCTTGAGTGAGATTGTTTTTCAGTGATTGCTTATGGTGCTTTTCAGTGATTGCTTCAGGTATCTGCTTATATAAATTATGTACAATTGTTTTTAGTTTACTGCACATTCTGTTTTGTTTTTTTTTTAAACTAATACATATTTAGAAATTACACACACATAAAACGTTATTACTGTAATAGTTTTCTTTTCCAAAATATTAATGAGAAAGAAAAAAAAGAAGTGATTATAATGGAGAAAAAAAAAATTTGAAATTGAAATTTCTATTCTTAGGATTATTTCTTAAACTGAATTTTTTCATAAATATGTAGGGAAAAAATTGTATTGAAATGTTTATTTAATTTTTTTATCCTTTAATTATTTAAAAATGTTATCTGTGACAGCTTGAAAATTAATATTTAACTATCGTTAAATATTTTTTATATTAATATGTTTCCACTGTAGAAAAATCTAGATATCTTAGATTTAAAAAGAAAATGTGGCCCCATGTTTAAAAATATTTTAATTGCTCAGAATTTAATAAAATTTTTACAAAAAATTTAATTTAGTTTTGAGGATTAGATTTATTTTTTGAAATTTTTAACTGTGCAGTTAGCTCTTTAATCCTTCTCTTTCCCATTTTTATTTATTCCTTCAATAACTAGAAGGTAAATTGTTTTTTCCTCTAATGTAAGATGTGCTAATTGTTTGCCGAAAGTGGTTTTGTGTGAAGTAGTGAGATTTTTGAAGTTATAAAAATTCTAAAATCAGTCCCAGCAGGTAACTGAGGATGGTTAGTATTATAGAGATAAAAGCTGTTGTAAATAATGGGGAGGGGGGTATTAACAAGTAAGATTCTAAAAGATTTTTTTATGTTTTAATATTTAATGATTTTAAAGCAAATCAGGGTTCCCACGGTCCTTAAAAGTCCTTAAAAACTGCTTAGCTTTTATTTTAAAAATTAAGGGCCCTTAAAAGTACTTAATTTTGATTGTTCTTAAAAGTCCTTAATTTCTAGTATCACTAGTTGGTTGGAACAATTTTTTTATCTTAGGAAGATATCCACAATTAAAAAGTACGTCTTTCGCCAAGAATGAGACCCTGCATCGAGGGTAGAACATTTTGAATGCGTGTGAGTGTAGGGGTTACAAGCAAGTGAAAGAAAACACGCCCTTATTGTTTATTTTATTTTATTAATTTTTTTCATTAAAATATTCTTTCTTTCTGGATCGTTCTGAAAGAAAAAAATTTAGTGTGGGGAGAAGGGAGCGTGATACTGCAGGTGGGTAGTGGTCTTTACTTATTTTTAGACAGTAGACCTTCTACATCAGTGTTTCCCAAACTTATTACTTTTGCGTACCCTTTCTAAATTTTTCGTAGTGCTGTGTACCACTAATAAAAAAAGCTTTTTTCTATAAAAAAAAATGGCACAAAAGTTAAAAATCACAACTAGCTGTTGACACTACTAATTATTAACAGTTAACTCTGCAAAACATAGCCAATCGAAAAATACGTAATAGTAAATTTTTATGACTTGCTTTGTAAATAAAATTTTATGAAATTTCTGTTTGTTGTAAGATATTTCGTATAAGAACACGTACCCCCACTAAACTGTTCCTGTAACCCTTCGGGTACGCGTACCACACTTTGGGATATACTGTTCTACATCCATAGGATTCAAGAAATTCAATTCTTCTTATAGCACACATGGTAGCTTTGATGCTTCATTCAAATGTGAAATTGTTAAAAATGCCAGGAAAGTGTGCTTTTAATAATTTATGGACACTTGATGAAAAATATAAGGAATGGCTAACAGCATCTAGTGATCGTCACAAATCAAAGTGGATTTTTTCATTGTATCATATTTTCTTCTGAAATTGAATTTTATAAATGACTCAATTTTTTAATATTAGGGACATGACGAATATTCGGCGAAGTATAATTTTAATCAGGAAGTCATTTTATCATCGACACTTTTTGTTTTAAAAAGATTGAAATGTTTGTTTCCTTTTTTCACTTATGTTATTTTTTTAAAAAAAAAAAATTTTATAGCGCGGCATTTTAACAGCGTTTCTGATAGATTTTATCTCCACTTTTTCTTTTAAAGTTATACAGATAATTAGATTACCGGTGATAAAGAAAATTGATTTTCTACGTTGCAAGTTTTGTTTTAAGAATTTAGGAAAATTTTCTGTTTCTCTTTTGCTTTTTTGATTAATTGTGTTTTTTTATTTTTTTTTTATTTTGATAGCATGTTTTAAAGAGCTTCTTTTTCGTCATTTTTTCTAAAAATCCGGCGATGGGAAACGCTTAAAGTGTAATTTTCAATGTTAAATTTTTCTTATAGAAATTGAGAGTGTTTTTTTTTATTATTTCTGTTTGGCTTTCCCATTTAAAAAAAAAAACTCCTGTTTTTGTTATGATGCGGCAATTTTAACGAGCACTACTCTTAGAAGTTTTTAAATCGATGTATCGCGAATTATCGACTTAACGCACATATCGGCAGTTCGATATAATTACTTTTATTTTAGGCGATGCATCAGGAATCTGATTTAAAACGACGCTCGTGGTTTAACGTGCGAGGATTTTTGCCTATGCTAACGCTATCACAGCGCTGACGAAGACTATTTTGATTTCGTCTAGCTGCGAAGATGTTTATTACATTTTTAGCTACGAAAATGTTTGTTTCGTTATTTATATTGTATAACGAAGAGAGAGGGTCAGCATATGCGATGCATAGTTTCTTTATGCGCCATTTTTGACCTTGGGATTTTACGTTTCTTGAAGATTATTTTCAGCGGGACTTATTTTGCGATCGCTGTGCGTTTTATTTCGACGGGATATAACGTTTCATGTAAATTATTTTCATTGAAATTTTTTCTGCTTAGCGACCATTGCGCATTATTTCATCACTTTTTTTTTTCTGTCTGGATTTAACGTTGTCAATTATTTTCAGCAGACCTACTGTTACTTGGTGATCGTTGCGCAATCGCTGTTATCTTAAATTTTCGTTCTGAACTTAATATATTAATGAAAAGTAATCATGAATTAAAAAAGATTCGTTATTGATTTTTTTGAAAGTGATACAATTTAATATTTTATATATTTTGCGTTTAAGTAATTTATACTTTGTCATGAAAAGTTAGTTTTTTTTATTAGTTTTTAAACCAATAAATCTTCAGTCGATTTAATTTTGAAAATATTAAAGCAAAGCCTACATTTAATTAATTTGCTTTTATTTTTGAGGAAATTGAAATTTTTCTTTTATTTGAGTTTGTGTTTTTTTTTTTTTTTAATTTGGCTGTTAGTTAAAATGACTGGATCTTTTAAAATTAAATGGAAAGTTAGGCAATGTCTAACGCTTTTCAATAATTTAACAATAGTGCTCTTAAATATAGAATATTTTTTTTATTTTTTTCAAAAATTCCTTCTATACGTGTTCGTTTAATAATTTGTTAGATAGTCAGTATTATTTTTAAACATTTAAATCTTTAGTCTATTTCATTTTCAAAAAGGAAAATAATAATAAATAAATAAATAAAAACTTGCATTTATTTTTTCATTAAAACCATTTCACCATTAGTCAATACAACTTTATTATTTTAAATAAGTAACAAAAGCCTAATGATGTTTCAAAAGCACATTTTCTTTTCAACAAATAATTTAAAAAATGTTTTATTTAAGTGGACATTTCTTTTTTTTTTATTATCTTGTAATGTATGTAAAATATTTTGTAACAGTTTTATTATTATTTTTAAAAAATCTAAGTCATTTTTAATTTAAAAAAAATTAAAATAAAGCTTGTGTTTGTTTTTACTTTAAGACAGTCTTAAGTCAATCCATCTTTATTTTAATTGAAGAAATTAAGCAGTGCTATTGATGTTATAGAAGCAATTTTTTTTTAGAATTAACATTTTCTGTTGTTATAGATTTATTTCTTTTATTTATTCTTGATTGATAAATTTAAAACATGTTAAATCGCGATACATCGCAATGTCTGACTGACGATCTATCACGATGTAAAATTTCTTACAACTCCCAGGCCTATTTTTACATAAAGAATAATAATTCTTGAGGATTTTTTTAAAAATGTTGTTTGATCATTGGTAGGCGGCCGATTTATTTGGCCGGATATTTGACTATTCTACCAAATCACTATTCATTATTCCCTATTTTATAATAGTGGGTGATCGGTTAACGAACAAATCGGTTAACGAACACTTTCACGAAAGATTATTGTGTTCGGATAACGAACACTTTCAGGAAAGATTTTTTGTGTTCGGACAACGAACACATATTCGAATAATGAACAAAACAAATTCTAACGAACACTTCTCGG